AGTGAATTATAGTGTCTTGGTTTATAGTTTCAATATGTTTAGGGTCCTTTGGCAAATGCAGTCACTCAGTCAGCCAACAGCGTTAAGGGGATAGGCAAAGGTCCTGGGTGTGTGCGTGTGTATGTGCGTCAAGAGCCTTTCCTTTCAAATATCATAATGTTAACATTGATAAAGTATCACAAATCAAAAGCTTAACTTTGTTGCAACGGATATCAATTGAAACGGAAGGAAAGGCCATATTTTACGCTTTTAATCTCCCTGTGTGTGTGTGCGTGAGTTTGAATATATATTTTTTTTTTTGCCCAGCCATTCACAATTTATTATTTCACATTTTCGTGCATATTTATTCAAAAGTGTGCAAACGATCCCCAAGTCTATCCGAAACACAAAAAAAAAAGAAAAAAAAAAAACTTTTTTTTGTTTCAAGAATGAATGGTGTGTAGGGGACCCACCAACCAGCTACAAGACCGAAAAGGTATTGCAGCTGTTACTTGATTTATTTGAAAAGTTTAATTGAGCCCCAATGCATAAACCCAACAACTCGAGTTCGTCCATCCAACGACAACAACAACAATCAACCTGTTTTTATTTGCAACATGAATCCAATGAGAATATTGATAGTCAAGTTTGAAGTATGACCTGGTGCCCTAGCTGCTTGGCTCTGAATTGAAGGGGGGAAATGTATGTTCAAATTGACATTTGGAGAAGTTCATAAATGCCAAAAAGAAATTCGGTTGCCTGGATAGATGAAGTTTTTTTGTGTTTTTTTTTTTTTGTCGAATCTGAAGTAAATTCATACATCAATCAGTTTTGTTGGGGTGCGTCTGTATGTCGCTTAATATCCAGGTGAAAATTACTTTTGAAAGGAAATATATTATTTTAAAGGGTAAGTACAAGATGATATGAAAAACTGCAACCAACTTCAGAATTCTGTCAATATATTATTTTAAGGGTAAGTACGGGGTGAAATGAAAAAAACTGCAACCAACTTCAGAGTGCTGTCATTTCTAAGCCACTTGTCCGACAGCAGTTAAAATTATTCCGGTGACAGCTCATTATATTGTTTATAAGCCTAAAAAAGCATTTTGGTGAGATTTTTCCAGAAAAAAGTTACTCGTGATGGAATTCAAGCTTGATAGTGTGATTTCTTTATATTTTGGCTGGAAAACCATAAGTGGCTATCGTTGGAGCACTCCAGCATTTAAATGTGAATAAACCTTTTTTGTCTCGTACCATCGCTCGTTACGTTATAATGGTAGCGTAGCTCGACGTCAAGGAAGTGGACGGAAGAAAGCAGCAATAGCAGCAGAAATGGTTGGAAAAATAAAGAAGCGACTTGATCGAAACCCGCGTCGCAGTGGCCGAAAAATGGCCCATGGGCTGAACATATCACAACATTCCATTCGGCAAATATTGAAAAATGAGCTTGGGGTGAAGCTATTGAAATTCCAAAAAAACAAGAACTTATACTGCAACAGAAAGAAAATGGAGTCAAAAGAGCTAAAGAGTTGCTTCGCTTGGCCGAAAGTGGTGAACTGCCGAATTTGGTTTTCGCCGATGAGAAAACATTCGTTGTCTAGGAGTTTGTCAACAAACAAAATGACCAATGAGGTAAGCTGAAAATGTGCACCTTCGGTTGGCCAACAGAACTCAAGGGCCAGCCATGGTGATGGTGTGGGCCGCCATAACAGCCGATGGCAGCTCTCCGCTCGTATTAATCGACCGTGGCATCAGAATAAATGCCGAGTATTATCGCGAAAATATTCTGGAGGGTGTATTAAAGCCTTGGGCATGCAAACATTTTGGCGGCAGACCTTGGACATTCCAACAGGTCTCAGCGTCATTGCACTCAGCACGCTCCATCCAAGAATGGTTACAAAATGAGGTTCCTTGCTTCATTTCCAGGGCACAATGGTCACCAAAATCTCCGGATGTGGCAAGACTATTGTGTCTGGAGTATTTTGGAAAGCATGGTTGGCACTAAAAAATACCAAAGTGTGCCAAAATACCGCAAAGCAACATTCGGGCAGCGTGTGACGGTTTCTTTGGCCATTTGAATGCCATAATTCGTGCCAAAGATGACCAATTCGAACAAATCTAAACATATTTTAAAATTTGATGATATTTCCGATATTTTTTGCTTTCATTCAATAAAATTAAAAAAAAAATATGGCCTTTAACTTTGTTGCAGAATTTTTTCGGAGGGAATATGTTGATTGGAATGGGAGGACTTCTGCATTATACTAAGAAACCGAATTGGATGACAAGATTGAAGGACACATTTTATATCTGAAGAATTAAACGTGAAAGAAATAGGAAGCCAATTTGAAAATATCAGTCGGTTTGCTGAGAATCAGAATTATTCAAAATTTCGACAAAATTTGGGGAGGTACCAAAAATTTAGTACGAGTGAGGATGACTTGTGGCAGTGTCCATATTTCCTTTGCTTCCAATGACTCATTGGTATCTTACAACTATCTTGCAACAGATAAGGTTGGAAAAACGGGCACCTACGAGTTCTACAACCGCAGATTTTTTCTTTCCACGTCGTCCATGCATACCACAGCTATCTGCGATGAGATTGGAAGCAGGAACAAGGTTCTCAAGTCTCTTGCTTGCAGTACTTGATAAACTGATATGGAAACCTTGTTGACCTCTTACAACGAAATAGGTCAGTCTGTGGTACACTATGCGGTTCGGTTGTGGTTTATGCTATGCAGTGGAAAATTATTTATTTCTGCAAGAGCGCCGACGTTAAAACCCCAACGGGATGCCTCCTCATGACACATGTCGACCATATCGAAAGTCTCCCAGATATGTAGGGAAAAACTTCATGGTTATAGAGAGAGAGAGAGAGAGAGAGAGAGAGAGGGAGAAAGAGAGAGAGAAAATGTACAGTGAGTAAAGTACTCGGAGACCATGTCTCATCACATTTGAGGAGCGAGGGCTGGCCCGACAACACGAGTAGTTTTGGGACAATAAAGATCCGGATGTTGCAGCCGCATCAATTCGTATTCAATTCTGATAGAACCACATGTCGAACACCTTAAAGGTCTTCCACACACGTGGTAATAATGACAGAGAGGGGGAGAGAGAGGGAGAGAGAGAAAGATATAAGAGAGAGCCTCTAGATCAGCAGGACTGAATGGATTCACTGAGAATATAGAATGAATACCGTTCTTGGAGATCATCTCCCTCCAATCGCAACAGAAGATCACAGTTAATATCCGGATGGTGGCACAGTTAATATCCGGATGATGCAACCATCTCAACTCGTAGTGGCACAGTCGTACATGACACGCTGTGCCTTTTTCACTGCCCTAACAAACCTACTCAACTAACTTCAGTATCGTTGTGGACTCAACCTAGACAGGCTGCGTCCCTCGCTGCCGTGGACACATTCCCCATTACAATTATGACGGTTTTGTTTTCGGTCATAAGCCCCATAATGAAATTGGGGTTATAGCCAAAAAAAGTATAACCCTCTTCTCTTGAAAGTAGCGGATATAATCCCCATGATTATGGAAAATGTATCCAAAAACGATTGAGGACATACACATCCTTATCGGCGAGCTATTTTAAAATTGTATTTTTTTTTGTGGGTGTTATTCGACCCGAATGTCCGGGTTTTATCCGGTTCTACAAAACTGATATGTACAAAATGGGTATCATTAGAAAGCCTCTTCACTTCTGCGATAAAGTTTTTTTAACTTTAAAAATTTTTTGTATCCTCTACTTTATATTTTCCCTACTAAAAAATGTCTGTAATCCATAATTTGGTTTCTCGTATTTTATACCTAGCTGTGACAAATCTGATTAAAAATCTCAAAAAAAAAAAAAAAATCTTCTAAAAACCAAGAATTGGCATCTGTAGGAGTCTAAATAAATCTTTAAAAAATCCACGACTTTGGGCCTTGTGGGAGTCTAGAAAAAAAAACCTAAAAAAATCTATGCTTTGGGCATTGTGCGAATCTAGGAAAAATTTTTAAAAAATCCATGCCTTTATGCCTTTAGGAGCCTAGAAAAAAAATTAAAAAAAAAAATGCAAAAATATCTTTAAAAAATCTCCGCTTTGGGTCTTTAGTGCTTCTGAAAAAATTATTTAAAAAATCACGACTATGGGTCGTTGGTGGGTCTTAATCTTATAAACATTCAATGCACTTAGACTTCAGAAATTTCATAAAAAACATCCAGCCCTACGGCTGAAGAAAGAAAAATATTTAAAAAATGCTATTATATACATGCATGGTCAATGTCGATTATCTCAAGTCGAGGTCTAAAAGTGGACATCATTCTGTATATTCTCTACATATAATTTCATTTAGCAAAAACTTTTTCAGTAGATCCCATAAAGCCACATGCCAACGAAAGGCTGGCTACAAAAAATTATCAATATAGGTCCACCGTTTGGTACAGAAGTTGTATAATCCCATACCCGGCCATATATAGTATGTTCCCGGTTTCATTAATTTCGAGATTTCCAGATTTTGCCAAGAATAATATTTTTTTGAGTGATGGTATTAAAATATAATAGTACAACGGATCTAGTTAGAAATTTATTTAGTGCAGTTGTGGTATGGGTTGCTACGATCCCGCGTAAAAGGAGTTTTTAACCATATTTAAAATAAGGACCAAAAAGAACCCTCAAGCGTTGACTCGCTCGACCAAATTATTCCTGGTATTCTTATATGCAATATTCCCAAAGATCTTGTATACCTAAAATGCATGGATTTCGAGGAATCTTAAATCAAAAATTTTAAGAGTGTGAAAGAGGGCCCCCTTTGAGGCTTTTTCTTCTCATCAAACCCAAAATTTTGACCTCTAGAATTATATCAGAGTTTTCGGAATATCAGACAAGATTAATTCTATATCACCTGTGGTTCCAGAGTGTGGAATAGGCCCCACTGAACATTTTTCTGCCAATCAACCCAATCAAAATTGTTACCTCTAGAATTATTGAAGAGTTTTATGAATATCAAGCAAGATTATTTCTATATCACCTGTGGTTCCAGAGACATATTGATCTATTGTCGATATTCCATACTTAAATGTTATACATATTCTAATGTGGTAGTGAAATGGGCTCCAGAATTAATCACTAAATCACCTACCCGTTCTCTCTACAGTCTTCTGCTTATAAAGCCAATATGGTTTTCTAAAACTTTTGTTTTCTGCCGAGAAAATTCTTTATAAATATTTTACAGATATAAATATTTTACAGAATTTCAAGTAATCTAGAAAAATATGAAGAAAATATTCTGCAGAAAAAAAAAAACGAAAATTTCGGAAATATTATATTTTTATTTGCCATATTATTTCAAATTGAATTCATTCCACCTTCATTTCTATTTCTTAAAAGCATTGCCAACCAAGACCGTTAAATTAAAAACATCCAAACCAATATCGAAACTTTTGACACTTCGATTGCTGAAAATAAACCCTTATCGCTGCCAAAGTTTCCATATCCCAAAAATATCAAATAACAATTTCCCATCGGCACCCCAGAATTATTAACAAAATCAACTAAATAAATTTCAATAAACTGTAAAAGACAGCAACAAAAATATACACGCTTTGAATACCAAAAACCTGTTTATTGTCATTTGTTAACTCGTTTAGATTTTTTTCATTTTTCCAAAATCTTTTTTGATTTAGTTGCAACAACTTTAAGCCATGTCAAGAATGAAAAGGAGACAATGTTTTTCTTTTCTAATTTCAAGTATTTCAAATAAATCCATTCAACTACGAGCCACACACATGTTCATCCCCCTCCCCCCATCACTAACACTCATTCCCCTGGCATGACATTGTACTTGATCCTTTTCTGGAATAAAGGACACGTATTTTTAACCGACCCACAAAATAACTTAACTTTGATGCCTGGTACTCTTCCGCCACTACAATGTGTGTGTGTGTGTGTGGGAACATGAACACAATTTTAGTTGTTGTTCGTGCCGTTGTTGTTAAGTTAGGATGCTTTGCTTTAACATTGAGTATGTATGTGATATTGTTTATGACGGATATCAGTAGACATACAAACTTTGTATACATGTTGTTTTTTTTTTTTTTTTTGGAGTACATTTATCCTCTTTTATATTTGTGTTAGCACTCGAGGGATTTATGACTTGGAACGCACAATCAACTACAAGTGCCAGAGTATATCAGAAAAATGTACATCTTAAATATTTATATGTATGTATTTAGGAGCTAGAGAGTCAACATACGGTTGTTATGCGAGAACAACGAGAGAAAAATAAGACTATGATTGGGAGAATATATGGGTGGCAATATTTTCGGAAGTTTAACTGAAAATTAGGATATCTGTTGGTGACTGGAATTTGATATGTTTTGAATATTTAAACCTACACAAATAGCCCTAATTTCCAAGGGAATCATCCAAAAACAAATAAATCGGTAAGGTTTTTTTAATTACTAGCATCCGAAGATAAATATCGAATTTTGCGCGAAATTTCAAAGCTGGACCGTTAAGACGCACATTGCTAGCTAAGCCGACTTGAACTTTTTTTGAGATTTTTTTGTGTTATATTCAGTTGAAAATATTGAATTTTCCGAAAACAAGTTAAAAAGTATCAGTCGGTTTTGTCGACAGATGTATACCATCAGTCAACGATAATCAAAATATATTTTGATGTTAGGATGATTTAAATTGTAGACCCTCTATGGAGTAGGTTCCGAAGGAAGGGCCAATAATGCCCATTTCATATTGATTTGGAATATACAGGCTTCCTTCACTCTACAGGATGAGATAAACAAAAACTGCAACAAAGTCAAACGCCATAATTTTTATTTTTTTTTTTAAATTTTATTTTTTTTTTAAATTCCCGGCGAAGCGCTTGCTTGAGGTGATCGACACTTTGATATTTTTTAATGCCAAACGTGCTTTCCAAAATACTCCAGACACAATATTCCAACGGATTAGTATCGGGAGGTTGTATGTGGTCATTATGCGCTGGAAATGAAGCGAGGAACCTCATTTTGTAACCATTCTTGGGTGGCGCGTGCTGAGTGCGATGGTGCTGAGTCCTGTTGGAATGTCCAAGGTCTGCGGCCCAAATATTTTCGTGCCCACCCAAGGCTTTAATACACCCTCCAGAATATTTTTGCGATAATATTCGGCATTTATTCTGATGCCACGGTCGATTAATAAGAGCGCAGAGCGACCATCGGCTATTATGGCGGCCCATACCATCACCATGGCCGGCGCTTGAGTTCTGGTGGCCAACCGAAGGTGCACATTTTCAGCTGACCTCTTTGGCATGTAAACACGATCATTTTGTTTGTTTACAAACTGCTGAACAACGAATGTTTTCTCATCGGAGAAAACCAAATTCGGCATTTCACCACTTTTGGACAAGCGATGGAACTCTTTAGAGTCTATTTTCTTTCTGTTGCGGTGAAAATTCTTGCACTTTTTGGAATTTCAATGGCTGTACCCCGAGCTCATTTTTCAATATTTGCCGAATGAATTTCTTCCGATCGAGCAAACACATCAATGGAAATCTTATGAAGAGTACTCTCCATTTGCGTTATAAAATATGTAAGAAGATTTGACATATTCCGAGGTTATGGTCATTTCTGGAGAAATCCTTTAAACTAATATTTCCATTGGCCAATATGCCTTCCAGGACATTTTTTTCAGTCCAACATGCACTTCAATGGAAAGGACAAGAAATTTCTTCTGGTCTAACATAAAAATGAATGGAAAGCTTATAAAGAGTACTTTTCATAAGCTTTCCATTGATGCGTACGTTAGACTGGAAGAAATTTCCTGGCCAATGCAAATATCCTGTTCAAAGTATTTCTCCAGAAATAACCAAATACCTCGAAGTCTGTCCAATAGCCCTACACAGTTTTTGGCGCCAATAGATAGTACTCTTCATAGGCTTGCCATGGTTGTGTATGTTCTGTATGAGGGCATATTGGCCCATGAAATTATCCTGTTCAAAGGATTTCTCCAGAAATGGCCATATATTCTGAAATCTAATTTTGGCACTAAATATTTGGGTACTAAATCCAATGCACAACATTCTTCACACATCACACATGGATATTTTGACAACTTAAAATATAACAAGTAAAAAAATACCCTAAAACACTCCACCATTTGGAAGGAAATTGAAAAATTTAAAAAAGTCCGAAAACTACCACTTAAGTGAAAACCGTTATATAGGGACTATACGAAAACGTGAACCTGCATAAGACATTTTTTGTCTAGGCTATACGAAACCATTACGAACTTCAAATACGAAATTCGAAATAATTCCGGTAAATAATGTCGCTAAAATCATGAAAATACCGTATATCGGGAGGTACCATTATATGGGGGCTATACGAAAACATGGACCGTCATGGCCTATTTACGAACTAAACCTGCCTACTGGTTATCTATGCATGTATATACAATTTTAGCTTTCTATCTCAATTCGTGATTACAACAGACAGACGGATATCGCTAGATCATCTTAGAATTTTACGCTGATCCAGAATATATATACTTTGTAGGGTCTATTATGAGTATTTCGAGAAGTTACTAAAGGAATGACAAAGTTAATATACTCTCCATAGAATGGTGGAGGGAAAAAATTGTATTATTTTGTCCCAACACCCCATTATATGTTGCACAAATATCTAATACAACAAATCGGAAATTTGAAAAAAATCCTGAATAAAATCTCGTTGATTTTTATGTTGTGTAAATACACTGGCAGTATCGCTGGCGGTACTTTAGATATTTTGTTGGAAAATAATCCTCCACAGTTAACATTTGATATTGTTGTTATGGCCAAAGCTTACACCCCCTCCCCCCTTTTCCGAAATCAAGCAAATATTGGTTTTACCTTGACGCATGGGTTGAGGATGAAAATGATGATGATGATGACGAGGATGAGAAGAAGGACGAGGACAACGGTGTTGATAATTTGTTATCCCTTGCTGGGTTGTCTTCATGTGCACTGCTACGTGTTGTAGCTCTTTGTTTGGCAGCAATATCCGACATTGAGTTGTAATACAGCTCAAGCAACTGAGGATTTCAGTTGTTTTTCAGGTTTATTTTTTTTTTCTCTACCTCCTCCATTTTTTGCTCACCATAAGCCAAGTTAATAAAGTTTATTTGTATTAAGCATTTACTTTGCTTGCTTGCTTGCCTGCCTGCCTGCCTGCTTTCGCCATAAGACTCTGTTGTTTGTCTAAAAAACGAAGGGGGCCAGTTTGAGTTTATTGTATAATATATAACTTTACTATTAGCACGAATGCCCTGAACGCAGTATATTACTTCCTGCTGCAATAAAGGTTATAAATATTTATGTATTTTTGCAAGCTCCGCTATGTTTGTGAAACACCAAGTTATGGGTATATACATAAAAATAAATTACACAGCGAATTAAATAAGAGAGCAGTTTTTGCAAGTCCTTGGAAGCTATGCGAAAATTAGCATTGGCGAGTTTTAAGGATTTTTTTATGGCTTTCGTTGGAAATTGTGTTTATTTTATTGCTTTGTCTATGAATTAAATTAACAAATTGCTTGAAAAATTAATCCTTATTTAAAAAAAAAAAAAAAAACCTCAGTATTTTGGAAGCGCTCTCCATGATCTGTCCATAAGGATTTGCAATGCATACAAAATATATGCTTCCCTGCTGTTTTCTCTATATTTTACTTCTATTTGGCCCTTGGGATATGAACATACCATCTATCCCCTCACAAGCATTGCAACATTCTCCATCGCAATTGCTATTTTCGCTAACCTTTATAATGATGATGATTTTATTTAAGCTCAATAAGAAGCTGGAATTTCGTATGAAAATTAACAACAGATTTTATGTTAAACACCGACAACTATGCCAAATGGCTGGGGAAACTACAACGAACATTAAAGCACAACATGGGAATTTTTCCAAAAGGTATTTGTTTGCATAACAGAAATTCTTTTTAGTTTAGTTAAGGTCCCGCTTGTTTTTCTCATCCATACCATACGAGAGCAGAGCTGAACAGCATAGCTCACGCCTGATATGTGCGTCTGTATGTGTGGGTGTTCGAGTTCTGTTTTGAATTTGCTTAGTCTTTAAAGAGGATTTCTTTGTGTTTTGCTTTTCGGCTTACCACCCAGCAATTATCCACCTGATTTCGACAAAAATGTTCATTCACCCTACATTTTATGTCCGCAATTTTGGAAGAAGGGGTATGTGAACTGTGGAAGAGATATATGTGAGAATCTTTGTCTTTAATGACAAAGGGTTTGATGTGGAATGATGAAATGAGAAATTTTGAAAGATCAGAAATGCCAAAAATGACTTTAAGAGAAATTGAAGATTTTTATATCTGCAGACTCCCAAAAATCAAGAAGTTCTATAAAAATAGTGTAATAATATTTATGGATAAAGAACTTTCCACTGGATTATTTGGATAGGTGAGATTTTTTGAATTTCTGGGGAAGAGGTCCTTTTTCAGACCTTCTAGGACTTTTGTAGGTCGTTCGTAATCATAACTTTCTACATAGATCCAATGAATGGAAGACCTGTTACAGGAATTCTGTAGATGGAAGAACTTCAACAAATTTTCTGAGATCAAGGACACAGGGAAATGTCACAGGTTTTCAATTGATAAAAAGTTTTAAATGGGTATTCAATGGACAAGGAATCTCTTGCAGCTCTTCCGTTGTCAGAAAGCCCTTTAAAGCCTGACCTAAAGACCTTTTTAAACTTTTTACTTTTTAAAATTTTAACTTGTAAATACGGAAGTCCTCTTAGCAGTCCTTTGAGTCCAAAATATCTCTTACATATCTTCCGTGGTCAGAAGACATATCAGAGGTCTACTGTGGCCACAACATCTCGGATATGGTCTCCTGTGATCCGAAAATCTTTGACAGGTCTTCTGTGATCTGAAGACCTTTGACACTTCTTCTGCGTTGAAAGAGCCCTTGATAGGTTTTCTGTGTTCCGGAGACCTTTGGCAGGTCTGAGGTCAAAAGGCCATTTCACTGCACTTTTCGCAGTCTTCTTCTGCGAGAAAATTTTTGACATACCTTCAGTGGTCTGAGAACTACGACACCAGTTCTTCTCTGGTCAGAAGGCCGCTGACAGGTTATCTTCGGACAGAAGACTTTTCTGTGCAGAAGACAGATCTTCAGGGATCAAAATATCTTTAACATATCTCCTTTGGATACAAGACCTTTGACGGGTCGTATGCCAAAAGACCTATAACGGGTTAATAGACCTTTGGAAGGTTTTCTAGGGTCAGAAGGTCTTTGACTTGTCTTCTGTATTGAGAATATCTTTTACAGGCCTTCTGTGTTAATAAGACAGGTCTTTTGTGGTCAGAAGACCAGATTGTTGTGAGAAAATTAATAAAAGATTTAAAGATCAGAAGACATTTAACCGACCTCTGACAGGTCTTCTGTGGTCTTAATAGCCTTGATATGTATTCTGTGGTCTATAAGACCCTTGACATGATTTCCGTGATCAAAAGTTTTTTAATAGGTCCTCTGTGGCCAGAAGTCCTTTGAGATGTCTTCGTTGACCAGAATACCTTTGGCAGACCTTCAGATCTTTCACAGGTCCTCACAGGTCAGAAGATCAGAAGACCTTCTTCTTCTTCTGAGGTGGAATGACGGACCTACTACGACGGGTCTTCTGTTGTCAAAAGGCTTTCACTTTCAGCTCTGACAGCTCTCTCTTTTTCTAAAGACCTTAGACAGATTTTTTTTATGGCCAGAAGACCTTGTAAAGGTTTTATATGACCAGAAAACATTCTATACATCTTTCAGGACAAGAGGACTTTTTACAGACCCCTTAAGATCAGAAAACTTTGTAAAGTCTACCAGGAGACATAAGATTCTTCTATGGCCAGATGTCCAGAAGGGGTACTCTACTACCAGAAGACCTTTTATAGGTCTTCAATGACTACAAAAGGATTTTTTATAGGTCTCTTAAGATCAGAAAACATTCGAAGAGTCTACTAGGAGACCTTTGTCCAGAAGTCCTATAACAGGTCTCCAATGACTACTGTCTTGTTCATTCTAGACCGTTTAAAGTTTTTATGTGACCAGAAAACATTCCAGGATCAGAGGAATGGTTTTCCAGGATCAGAGAACCTTTAATAGATCTTATGAGACCCCAAAACATAAGAGTCTTCTATGACCAGTACCCACAAAAGCTTTCAATAACAAGAGTCTTCTAGGACCATAAGGCAAGTGTTTAAGAGTCTCTTGGGGCTATGAGACTGTCCATGGATCTTTCAATACAAAACGTCTTATGAACTTTAAAGTCGTGTTTAAGAGTCTTAGGAACTTTACAAAATGTCTTAGGAACTTTAAAGTCGTATCTTAAAGGAAGATCTTTAAAGGGATTATATTGTCAGAAGACCTTTTAAAAGACTCATATAACCCTTTTTAGACTTTTAAAGAAGGGCTTTTAAAGTAGGACCTTGAGACATTATAAAGATTTTCTACATCCAGTGAACGGAATACCTTCCAAAGGGCTTTTGTAGATTTTCTATGACAAGAGGACATTCTCACGGGATTTCTAGGACATGGGAACATTTTTAAAATTTCCTACATCCAGTAGAACATTTTAAGGAGTTCTAGGACTAGATTAAATTTTCAAACTTTTTATAAACAGAATACCTTTAAGTGATTTTTAAAGGTCCTTCTGTGAACATAGGACTATTTTAGGACCATTGATGAGTGGAAGTCTTTTTAAATGGACAGAAGATATTGTTTTGGTATTGGCGATATTTTCCCGGCAAACTCCATTCTATCAAAGTTACCCCTTTTCTTCTCCAATTTTATTTTATTATATTCCCCCCTTTCTCTCGGCAAAATCCCTTTGTTTCCCCGCTCTTTATTTTGTCTTTGAAGTTCTGCAATAGATACCCCTTTTGTGTAAACCGTAGTTAGCAAACCCTTTATCATCGGATATCCTTACAAATAAGAAAGTTTTAACACAGCTCTGTTTGATAAACAAATAGACAGATAGAGAGAGAGCGGGAGAATGGCATGGGATGAGAGTATAAAGATTCCTGCGGTTGTTTAGAAGAATTTCCTTTTTAGCAAAACAAACACATCCTTAGTAGAATGTGTTCGTTTTTCTTCATTTTTTTTTGATGCAAGAAATTTCTAAATACCATATGAATGCGTAGATACGTGCCTGGATGCCTGTCTATATTCACATACATATCTCTGCCAGTCTATGTGTGTGTGTCTGTGTTGTTTCTGTGAAACTCCTGGCTATGGATATGAGAAAATTTGTGAACAATTAGATTCTGCTTCTGTTAAGAATATTAATTACGTACATAATTAAGCACAACCAATTCTTTGTACAATCCTTCCATGTCCTCCGTACAGCCGCAAAATATACCACCACATACATGGATGGTATGTAAGTGTGCGTAAGAGTGTGCCTGCAAACGTGTGCCGAAGAACATCCTTTTCCCTATGTGTCGGCATTTAATGGAATATTCAATTGATGAACAAGTAGGCGGCTTATGGACTTAAATGAAATTCGCAACCACTGAATAGTCAAGTGGTGTAGTGTTGCGGTTAAAGATGTTTTTGACAAAGAGCAGCAGCAACGAGTGTTTGTGTCCGGGTGTGAGTGCGAGTATGTGCGTGGGTGTGTGTGTGTGTCGTAGGTCTTTGTAACTAAATCAGGCAATCAATCAAACTGTTTCCAAGTTCCCAATTATGTAAATTGTTCGGTTTTTCATCCATAGCCTTAATAAGATTAATGCCTCAACTAAGCAACTTCAAATAAGTTGTGCTGGCGTTGAAATGAAATGCGCATGAAATGGTTGGCTGTTGAAACACAACGTCGTCACCATTTTCATCAGATAAGACATACGTCTTAAGTTGCAATTTCCTTTTGCTGGCAAAGGTTTTCGGGCATTGAAATTGTTACGTCAAATACTCTTCAAATTAATGTTAAGTTTGGTGAAGGACGAAAGTTAGATTTTATCATTAAATATCAGAGACTCTTAAAGATGTGTGGATGAATTATAAAACT